TTGCTTTTTTTTCGCGAACGGTACAATGGGCGCGCTCTTCACTCATGAGTGTGACGAAAGAGAAATTGTATACTCCGACGCCCACACCCACACCCTTCAAAATCTAACTACATACAAGCAAAATCTAAATAAAACACATCTGTTTTTAAAAATCAGATGTAATTTCTTGACGATGATAGAAAATAAGTTCAGGTTGATCGGGATTAATTCGAAAAGCACCAAAGGTACTTGTTTGTTATAGCCCTGCAAAAAATTTTTTTATTTTTTATTTTTATCTTCACACATACATTTTTATTGATTAACAGACGGGTATATATACGTGAGAGCAAAGAACTTACTAGAGAGATCTACATGAACAATATATATAAGATAGAGATAGAAAGAAAAGAAAGAATGCATTTGAATATACTAGAACCATACATACATGCATTCATACATGACAGCAGAACGAAAGAAGATATAGATGGAATCACATACATACTAGCATCACAACAATAACAGAAAGAAAGGAAACATGTACTAGTCATAATACGGGCATGATAGGAATGATAATAAGATGAAAAGATAAAAAGTTAAAGGATACGATATTATGAAAAAATTTTTAAAAAATTTGCGGGGCGATAACAAACAAGTACCGCACAAAAAGAACGCATAACATCAACAAATAAAAGTTTGTCTTCAACAGATATTTGACCATTTAAAAATTGATACGTTTGACAAGATATCGAACCGTCCATATAATCTTCCTCAGTCGTAGATTTTTCATCAAAATATTCAGCTGCTGAAAGATAAAGAAAAAACATGAGGTACATCATTTTCGTACATGAAATAATTTGCTTCATCATTTGGCATTACATAAATAAATACTGACATTTTAATCTGATTCTTGGTTTATTTTTTGTAATTTTGTTATCATTATTCATTCGATTAAAAAAATAATTATTTAATTTATGAATTGCAGCTGCAAGTTTAGGACATTGACATTTAATTGATGATGATTGTTTATAATCATTTATTGAACATGCTTCGCACATATGAAAATCTTTTGCATATTTCAATTTAAATTCATGTCGTTGTAAATCAAATATATCTTTTGTTACATATTTGAATAAATCTGGTGGTAAATAAGCACTAATAAACCATTTAATTTGTTCATTTTTAATAAGAGCAATACGACGAGCACATAATTCTTTAAGACTTAATAAACCATTTGATTTTATTCCATGACGTTGAAATCGTTCAATAGCACCACAAAATGAACTAACATCACCTTTAATTCCAATAGCTAATATATCACCCAGGTCCAAGACGTACGGCGGGAAACCGCCTGATCCGGTGAATTTCCGGCAATTTCAGGGTGGCAGTATTCCGACCGGAGAATTTTCCAATTTTTTCCGGCGACTTCCTATGAACTTCCTGCAGGAAACGGGAGGAAGTTGATGGAAAATCACCGGAAAAATTCCGAGCGGAATATTGCTACCTTGTTCCGACGAATTCCGATGTTTTCCTGCAGGATACGGGGATTTTTTCTGCATTTTCCTGGCGGTTCCCGCAGGATCTGGTGTCCGGAATCATCGACCTGGGCACATATTGATCTTGTTCGATAATATCGACCCATGATCAAATTTAAGAATAAATCTAGAAAAACAGACAACGTTTATGTATATATAATAAGAATGTAATTCAAAGAAAAACATGACTATTTAGCTGACGACTATTAAAACATTTAAATTCACCAATCAGTTTACAGAGAGAGATCATCATAATGATTCTTATCGAAAATAGAATAGAATAAAACGGTCTTTGTTTATTATAAGATATATAAATCGGATACCATTGACAGTGCCTATGTAAAATCGGTTTTAATTGGTTGTTCTTCGCATAATCCTTATAATATTTAAATAATCTTTGCAATTTAATCGATATACATCTAGACCTACTAGTAAAAAAGAAATAGCCGTTTTAATAAGAAAAAAGTTTTTTGAATTGAATAGAAAAATTGTAATTTATAGATGACGTAACTGTTTATTAAATGAAAATTTTCCTGCTAAGGTAACTTGATGTAATTTGTAGAGGAGGTCAGATTATAAACAAAAGGAGTTTTGAAGTAAACAGAATAATGATCCGTGGCAAAGATTTGCAATGGAAATCTAAAACAAAACGTTTTTTTACACCTTTTTAACACGAGCAAAGTGTATTTGTGCACTTTGTATTCATCAGCAAAGTGTACCAAAATGTACGTAGAACAAGCTTTTCACAATCTAAAAAATAGCAATGATGGCCGTACTTTTTTCTTTAAAGTAAAATAAAATATAGTTCAATACTTACATATCAAATGACTAATAAAAACACTTACGATTTCATAATCTACTATTATCTAAACCTAATCATTTATTTAATGCTATATATAGTTGCTGAAATTAAATTTTAAATTTCTTCAGCAAAATGTACAATGTACAGTTCGTTTTTCCTACGCAACGTGTAAAACAGAGTGTATTTTGCAAGGGGTAGATGTTCTGTACATTTTGTTTCCGTTTGGTACACCTGCTATTACAAACAGTTCATATTTCAGTCAAAGGTCAATAAAAAGTCAGCAGCTGCTTCTATTTCCGATTTAATTTTTCCTTCCAAAACAATTGTATGGTGTGCCATATATTGTAGAGTGAAACGTATACTGAGGTTAACGTTCATCCCAAGGTCAAGAAGTGAACAATTTGTTGAATTTATCATCACCCAGGACGAGCATTACGACAATCGTAAACGATCGTATACGACGTCGTATACGATCGTGAACTGTCGTATACAGTGCACATTACGATCGTGTACGACCGTATTTCGCCGTATTACTTGACACCTGAATTACGGCCGTATATCGTCGTGTCGTATACGACGAAATACGACGTGTATACGACCACCGTAGACGGTCGTACACAGTCGTATACTATGTCGTTTTTCATCGTATTTCATTCAAAATTTTGCCATCTAGTGCCCCCCCCCCCCTTTGACTTTCCAAAGACGAAAAAACTAAGGCCATATACACACTAGAAAAAGTGAATTAACTTAATTCAACCTTAAGTTAATTCACTTTTTCTAGTGTGTATATGACCTAATTCGTTAGGGTATCAAGTCTCACTAAACACCCCCATTGAATTACAGTTATACTTTACTATTTTATTTATTCTTTTCAATAATCTAAAAAATTGAAAAATAAATTTATTTAATCTGAAAAAATAAAAAATAAAATTTATCTAATCTAAAAATAAAAGATAAAATTTAATCAATCTAAAAATAAAAAATAAACTTCATTTACTCTAAAAAATAAAAAATAAATTTATTCCATCTAAAAAATTAAAAAATAAAATTTATTTAATCTAAAAATAACAAACAAACTTTATTTAATCTAAAAAATAAAAGCTAAAATCTATTTATATCATCAATATAGAAAAATGAAAAATAATATTTTCTGTATAACCCATAGAGAAAAATTAGAAATAAAGCAAACTGCTATCTATATCACCAATATACAAAGAAATAAATTAAAAATCTGATTTTCTATATTACTGGTATAGAAAAAACCAATAAAACTAACTGGTATCTATATTACTAATGTAGAGAAATAATAATTAGGATTTTCTATTTAATCAATATAGAAAAATTAAAATTAAAACTAACTGATATTTATATTACCAATATCGAAAAATAAAAAAAAATGAAAATCAAGATTTTCTATATTAATGAGATACAAAACTAAGACATGAAAGTAACTGTTGTCCATATTAGCAATATAGAACAAGAATAGATAGAAATTAAAATTTTCTATATTATCACTATAGAAAAATGAAACATTACACTTAGAAATGAAACATTACACTTAGGATTCTCTATATTATCAAATATAGAAAAATTAAAATATCATTTTCTATATTATCAATGTAGAAAATCAAAAATAATAAATAAGATTTTCTATACTACCAATTTAGAAAAATAGGAAAGGAAAACTAAGATTCTTATACTATTGATTTAGAAAACTAATTAACAAAAGTAACTGTTATCTATACTGCCAATATAGAAAAAAAAAACAAATAAAACCAACTATTATCTTCATTGTCAATATAGAAAAATAAAAAATAGAAGTTAGTATTTTCTATATTATAATTTTAGAGAAACAATACAGAAAACTAACTGTTTCTATATCATCAATATAGAAACAGTATATAGAAAGTCTGATTTTCTATATTATAAATATAGAAAATATAAATCATAAAACTAACTGTTATCTACCTTACCAATACAGAAAAATCAGAATCAAAACTAACTGTTATTTATATTATCAATATAGAAAAGATGAATTAAAAAATAAGATTTTCTATATTATTAAACTAGAAAAATGAGAAGTAAAAATGGGATTCTTTATATCGCCAAAATAAAAAAACAAGAAATACAAATAGGAATTTCTATACTACCAGAATAGAATAATGAAAAATAATGAATAAGATTTTATATAATATGAAATATAGAAAAATTAAAAGTAAAAATTAAGATTTTCTATATTATCACTATAGAAAAATAAAAAATGAAAATTAGGATTCTGTATATTATCAAATATAGAAAGATTAAAATTAAATTACACCTTTTCTATACTATCAATTTGGAAAAATCAGAAATGAAAATTGACATTTTCTATATTATCAATATAGAAAAATAAAAAATGAAAGTTAAGATTTCTGTATAATCACTAGAGAAAAGTACCAAAACAAAGTAGGTACACGGATTGATCTTATTTTTTAACTACTATTCTTCACAGTAAAAATGATCGAATCAACAATTTCCGAATAAGTTAAAGAACAGGAGAGACCATACACATTCAGCTAAGCACAGACAGGATCCACATTACGTTCTGTTATGTTACTTTTTACATTAATCTCATATGATTTGATAAGATCTCACAAGAAACATTCAGCCGGTACTAATAGGTTTCTTAATCTTTAAATCTTGTAAGATTTTTGCTGGCATCTTATGGTCAAAATCTGAGGAAATCTTCAAACAACGAACACATATGAAATCATATGATCTTGTGACAAGATCATAGAGAAAATCCTATAAGGATAAGATCTTATCGGATTTTGCATGATTTGATGTCAGGTTTTTGACCTGGGCAGATTTTTATTGTACAGTGTCACCAAATAATCTTATGAAATTCAAAGATTAAGACACTTATAGGGACAGACTCAATGCTTCCTATCAAATCTCTTCAAACCACAAAAGGTTCATACAAAAAGGAACATACACCAGTACTTACTGAAGATCTTATCTATCCTTATCCGATCGTGTATGATGTTCCCTGTTCTTTATTTATTCGAGAATTGTTGATTCGAGTAGTTTTACTACGAAGAACAGCAGTTGAAAAACACGATCGAGTTGTGCACACAATTATTTTTCTTATTTTTCTATACAAACAATAAAAGAAAATCTTATCTTGTACCTCTTAATTTTCTATATTGTTAATATAGAAAATCTTAATTTTAGTTTTTTATTTTTTTATGCAGGTAACATAGAAAATCTTAACTTCAATTTTTTATTTTTTTATGTATAGGTGACATAGAAAACAGTACTTTTACTTTTTATTTTTCTATAACAATAATATAGAAAGTGGTTAAGTTTATTTCTTTCTTTTCTATGTTAATAATACAAAGAATATTAATTTTTATTTTCTGCTTTTCTATATTGGTAATATACAAAATCTCATTATAATTCTTATTTTTCTATATTATTAATACACATAACAGTTAGTTTTATTTCCTATTTTTCTATAATAATAATATAGCAAATATAAATTTTCATTTCTTTTTTTTCTATACCCTGAACATGGAAAATCGCATATTTACTTTTTATTTTTCTACAGCAATAGTATAGAAAATGGTTGATTTTATTCCTTAATTTTCTATATTAATATTATAGAAAATCTCAAATTTAATTTTTCATTTTCGAGAAACTTGATGTAAGACTTGACATCAGATTTCTGAGACAACAATTTTTCGTATGATTTTCTGTATGATCTCGTATGATCATATACAATAGTTTGTAAGATCTAATAGAATCATACAAAAATTCATGACCGATCTTTCTATATGATTTCTCGATGTGGAAACCTACGACTAAGTTACGACCATATACGGTCGTATACTACAATCATGCACGACAGTCGTTTATTTGCAACATATACGTTGATCGTACTTGAACGTATGACATCGTGTACGTCCATCATATACGATCGTCGTATACGATGACCGTTTCTAGACGTATTTCGTCGTATATGATCGTTTACGATCGTGCTTTTTTGACCATATGCATATGGTCAAGGTTAATTCATTTGATTTACCAAGTGAGTTACAAAACTTCAATTAGGAATCACGGATTGAAAGGAATATCATAAGATAATATTGAGAATCACATAACTTTCGAACATTTCTGAGAGTGTGGGTGCGGGTGTGGGGTGTGGGTGTGGTTATGAGTGTGGAGAAAGAGAAATAGTATACTCCGACGCTCACGCCCACACCAACACTCACACCCACACACCCTACACCCCCGCACCCCACACCCCACACCCACAACCACACCGACACAACCACAGCCACACCCACCCACACCCCTAATATCGGTACTCGGAACATGGGGACATTGAACGATTGGTTGAAACGAAATTGAGATTTATTGAGTCATTTGTTTTTGTAGAATAGATTTTTTTCGAGCAGCAGGATATGGTGACATTGAATGATTGGTTAAAACGAAATGGAGAGCTTTTAAACTATTTGATTTATAGAATAGATTTTTTTCGATGTTCGAGACATGGGAACATTGAATGATTGGTTAAAGCGAAATGGAGAGCTTTTGAGCTATTTTTGTTTATAGAATAGATTTTTTTGAGCAGAGGGATATGAGTGTATTGAATGAATGGTTAAATGTTTAATGTTAACAAATTTGTTGTTAAAAACTGGATATTTAATGTTTTATGCTATTTAGAATAGCAGCTGTTCTGTTCTTTCATTCGTTGAGTAATAACTGGAATATATATGGATTGTTGTTTATCCATTCCATAGACTTATTGTGAGGAAGTTTATCAATATATCATTGCAGTTTAGAATTCGGATACCCTTTTTTTTTACAGTAGATGTACACAAAAAAACAAATAATTTATGTAATTAAAAACAAACAGACATAGAATGTGTCCTTTGAATGGATGTTTCATAGCAACGAACATCAATCGATTAATTTTAAGGAAATGAATAAAATTCATGAAATTCTAATAGTTACTAAATAAGAATGGTTAAAAATGAAAATTATATATATGTAAATATTTTAAAATAATGCAAAATAAATCATGAAAGCTCGACCAATCATTTAGAATCGCTAAAATTACAAAAATTGAACAGAATGGTCCACAGAAGTGAACCATGGTTGAGATAAGCTACATATACACGCTACATATAAAAGTGTATGTAGCTTATCCTAGATCGTTTTAACCAATCAGCTTACGCTCCATATTTAACTCTTTTCTGTCCAGTTTTTAATGACAATGTCAAAATATGCATGATATGATGTGCATATATACTCAAGTTAAAAAATAGATCGTATTGAGAAAGCATTCGAATTCTTGAATTAGAAAGAAAACTAATGGCGAACAACTATCAATATAATGTATCCTAAAGAATGCAAAAATAAAAACCTCATTCCACAATCAATTGATTCCTTATTTGAAATAATATTCAAAAAAAATATTGTTTTCAAAGTGTTATAAAGTATTAATTTAATTCGTATGTAAACATAATTCAAATTGAACTATAAACCGAAATTCAATTCTATTTGAATTGGCAGACATATTAATGCTTTTGATTTTTCAATTAGTTTCTCAATTCAATAACACGTCTATCTTTGAAACATTTTCCAGCTAGATATTTTATGACTATTAAATTTCTATTCAAAGAGATCTGTTCATTCCCTATGAGACTCGAAGTTTTAATACAAACGACTTTAATAAAAACAAAAATGATCTTTTGATTTATTGTCAATTTTTTTTTCGTGTGGTGATTGAAATAGCAAGTATTAATAAAGCACTATTCCGATTATTTATTTTGTGACTTTCTCAGTCGTGTAATTATTATCATAAGAGCGTCAAAAATATCATATTTTTTCTTATCGATTTGATTTAGTTATAATCAGAATTCATAATATCAATATAGAATGATTAAAGAAATTGAAAAGTAGACACGATCGAAGTTGATGTTTTTGGAATTAGCATCAGTTAGCATTGTTAGAATTATAGCGGAATCAAAATGTTCTATCTCAAATCTCATAGAAACTATAAAATAGAGCACATAGATTATTGAAGTGAACGTCTCTTTTGGTAAAAAAATTAATGATCTTTTTTTTGTTCTCTAAAATGTTTTAGAATTGATTTTCGGTTAACGAACTATCGCTTGGTTAGAAGGTAAAAATGATATCCTTTTCTATGAAAATTTTTTCGATTCTAAGATTTTATCAGTTTAAATCGAAATCGAATTGGAATCAGTTTTAACGTTTTGAAAATTATATTAGGAACGAAAGTATTCATTTTCTGGAGATAAAAGCCGTTCTTTTTTGTTGAAATCACTGGAGTAATCAATTATTCTTAACAGGATTAACTAGATATTTCCTTTCGTCTCCATTTTTTTTGACCTTGTTGCTTTCTCTTCCGAAACACATGCTTGACTTTCTTTCTCAATATGGTTGTCCACGTGCTGCTTAGCTCAATTTTCTCTTCAGTTGATATTTAAGTTAGTTGATGACAGATAGAAGAAAACATATATAATTCGGTCTTCGAGATTATAAAATATCTATGAGAATAACAAATATATCTTTATAGTTGTATCACATTTTTAAAATGCGTTACTCATAGAAGTTTAGACATACCCTGCAAATTTATTAATTTAGTTTTTTTAGGATCTCATTTTTTGAATCTCAGAAAAACAACACACAAAAACAAAATAAAAAAAAGCGATAGTCTTTAGAATTTGTTTTTTCATGTAAATGCACATTATTACGTATTATAGAGCAATAGAAAAAGTAAATAAAAATGAAGCAAATACTGCAAGATATTCAATAAAAAAATTGTATTCAGACTCTGCAGAGTACCATGATCTGTAGGGAAGATCAAAACAAGGTACAAAAAAGTAATCCTACGAGCACCTCTGATGTCTATATCAAGAGTTGAGAAATAGGACATTTCTTTTCTTTTTCACTTCACTAAGTTTTTTAAATTTTACAAAGGGTGATCACTATTTGAGATGTGGAACAGTAGTGTTTAGTAAAATATTTGAATAAAAAAAAGTCGTTTCATTCTCAGCACACAAAAGAATGTATTCTTAAAATATTTCTAGGTTAATAATTTGCACACTAGCCACGTTAATGGGTCATTCAAATCTCATAATAGATAAAAACTAATCGGAATCGAATGTTTAAACGGTAGCCTTTGCAATAAATTCTAGGTATTTTTTTTAAATTTCATTTTTTGACTAGAGCATTATAAAAAATTGATTATATCTTCAAATGAAACCATAACTCTAAAAATTGTGAATATGATAAAGTATTGTGTTTGGAAAAATAATGATGAATAATTTACATAAAGTTAGAAAAATTCTACCCTATAGATTTCAAATATATGTCTTTATTATAAAAACAGTTTTAAATCACGATATAGCATTTGTTCAATTTTTTAATTTTCACAACAGCAAGGAAATGATATCGTTTATTATCTTTTTTCATTTGAATATAAATAAATCTAACCTTATTCAATTCGTGATGAATTTTGACAGAAGACTTCGCACAACGTCATATACATATATTTGATCCTTTACATCTAACTACTCATTGTATGATTTCAATCATATCATACTGACATGAGAATGATCGAGCAGTTTATGAATTTTTTTCTTTCTTCGAACCGGAACTCAACTGAAAATATATAGATGGCTTCAGACTAAAACTATATTATAAATCAAAATTTTTTGATTAAAATGAATCTTCTCTTTGTCGCAACACGTACATCTATATAAATGCTGGGAAAATTTATCGAGTCTTACTGTCAAACATGATAGAAAATTTTTAATTCAAGAGCTCATATTTCTTGTAGATAAATATATTATCTTTCAGTTTTTTTATTATATTCCATTACTATGAATGAAATTGAAATTGGTCTCGAATATGCAAAAAATAAAAAAAAAGCTCGTTTACATAAGAACAACATTTCTCGTCGTAAACTTCGTACAAAGTGTAATTCAATTCTTCATCCGAATGATTCAATAGATATTGAGACATCGGTTATAACAAATTTGGGTTTGATGACGATAAGTTCTGATGAAAACAATATGAACCAACCCGATGTTCGATCTCACTCTACATCTGTTAATATTTTAAGTGATCAAATAGAAGAGAATATCGATGAATCATCCATTGGTTTTGATAATCTTGACTTCAATGATCTTATGCACCATCAGGAAGCAGAAAATTCAAATCTTCATGAATATACATCTATGGACTGTCTCTCATTTTCAAAACATCTAATTGAATTCATTCGAAATGCCAATGTTTCTAAAACTCATGCCGAACAGCTCATAACTTTAATACAATCAGGACTTCCTCAACCAAACACTTTACCCAATAATTATTCCGATCTACTTAAATTACTATCAGGTAATATCATTAACTTTTTTTCTTTTATTGAGTATTAACTATTAATGAAGTAATATGAATGCAGTAACCATGTAAAAAAAATTGGCAACAAATCGGATTAAAAAAACACGATATTTCGGTTATAGTCAAAGAGTATCATTAAAACGTATGAATATATTTATGTTCATTTCTAATAAAATACACTCTTTCATTCTAAGTAATAATATCTAATTTTTATTTGACGTTTTATATCTTGGTTATATTAATTTTTTAAAATTTAATATGATTACACTCGTTTATTATGATTGATATTTCATAGGGGAAAAAAAAATTTTTATATTTAACCTTGAAAGTAATTTCATGTTTATTTTATCTAATGAATATAAAATATTTATAACTTTTTTGAGATTAAATTATAAACAATAAAAAAAAAGATCTTTAGTCGTAGTTATTTATTTTTAATTATAAATACTACACAATTTCTCTCTTGCTTTAGTAATTCGATCAAAATAAGACATTTGAACATATTGAAAAGAATAGAAGATTTATTTCATATATTTATAAGACACATACGAAATCTCTATTTGAGATAAAAAAAAGAAAGAATATGTTTATATAGACGATTGTTACAATATATTCTCCTAAAGGTTTGATTTGCAAAAATTATTTTGATAGATTGATAAGTTTACTAGAGATCTATAAATTATTCAATCGGATAGAATTAAGAAATGACATTATATGTTAAAATAATAATAGAATAAAAGCATATTAGAATCAACTAATGTTAGGCTATGAAAAGATTTCTAAAAATAATTTCTATTCATTGTATATCTACAGGCGACTATTGATTCTAACATCAGACAATACTTTAAATTGCTAAACATTTCTTTTTATATAAAATATGCTATTTAATTCGATCTAGAACTTTAGTTTTATTGAACGATAATAAAGTGGATATGAACTAATGATTTTCTAACAAAATTGAACCGTTTACAAACTATAGATGTAGATTAGTAGGTAGAATTCTATTGATATTCGAAATTTTATTGCTATTAGTAGAGTGTTACAATAAAAATCTGGTCACTAGATATTATTCATATGACTCCATATGTTCGAGATTTTTCATTTTTTTATGAGGGAAAGAAAAAAAGACTTGGCATATAATGCTAATTTAACAAGTTATAGCTAGATATCGACTGGATGGTCCTAGTCCTAAGGCGAGGCTCAAACTTTTTTAACCGCGATCAAGGTCAAACTTTTATAGTCGAAATTTGAACCGAAAACGGCTAATCCCGGTCATGTCTAGTTATTGCGAGTCAACTACATAATATTGTCGATATTTTTTTCAATAGAAAAAATATTCAAAAGTCAAGATGAGTTCTATACATTCACGATAATTTAAGATATCTATTGATGACAGAAAAGATTTTATTTTCGTATCATACAGTCCATAATTTTTTAATTTATATTTTTAAAACATTCTACTATATATTTATCTGTCGACTATTTATTCTCTTTGTATCAAAATATGTCATTCTTCTGTTTTTTGTATGATAATCATAATAATTTAGTGAAAATTAATCATATTTTATTCATACTACAACGAAATTCGTGCGAGAGATGTAAAAAAAATCTATACTTACTTTGACGTAGATTCTTCGCATCGGTTTTGTTTTTTCCAACTTTGTATTTTTATATCACGAGCACAACTGTTTTATGTCCGTTTGCTAATTCAAAATCGAAGATATATTCTATTAGTTTTACTTTTCGTAAAGACATTTTTGTGAAAAATCGTTTCTAAAGTTTTCTTATATTATTTAAAACACTTTTGTTCTTTTCTTTAGTGGAAGATATATTTATTAAGAGGTTATTGTGTATTAATTGTAAATCTGATCTTTCAACAACATCCACAAAATGTCTAAATGTAAAAAAGAAAATTCGGAACGTTTAGCTTTAGTTTTCGATGCAATTCAAGAAATTGTTTTCACTCGTACATATGATCGATTATGCTCCACAATTGATACATATCGTGAAACTTTCACGAAACAAAAAATTGATCATGATATAAATGATATCGTTTATAATCAAAATTATAGAACCTTATGTGATTCCAATCCTTATCCATTTCTTACTATTCTTCTTCACTTAGATGGAATTAGTTTAGGAAAATCGAATACACAATGTTTATGGATTTTGAATGGTTCTATCATCGAACTGCCGCCTGCTATTCGAACTCGGCGACAGAATAATCTAATTTTATCTTTGTGGATTGGAAATGAACATCCAAATGTTGAATTATGGTTAAACCGATGTTTTCATCAATTACTAGATCTAAAATATAAAGGTAAGCTTTCTATTTAAAAAGTGAAAATAAATTTGATGCTGAGAAAGAGCTATTCTCGCTACCTACTAGGACATTCTTAGTTCATTGTTTAAAAATATTTTTTTCCGACGCTTTCATTTGTAGCGAGAATCTACGCTATTTTTTGAAAAGCGACACTAACTAAAATATAATGATATATATTGAACAAAAACAAAAAATTATTTTTTGAAAATGTATAACGGATGATTTATCTATTTTAATAGAAGTGAAATAAAAAGATGAAGATTTATCAAACAAGAATAAAGTTTTTTAAGAATTCATCTGTTTGTAATATTTGGATTAGCTACCTACGTTGACCTACAGTTGAGAAGCAATGTGTGATATGCTTCATGGATCACTATATTATTCGGTCCTTTATCGATTAAGATAGTTTTAGTCCTTTTTGTTTGAGCCTTTCTCTAAAATGACAATCATGGTATATTTGGGTGTGAGTGTGGGCGTGATTTTTCCTTCATTTTATACCCGCACTGATATTCACACTCCACACTAACACACACATTCCATACCCGCCCAGATTTGCTGAACACGTTTCTGAAATCATCTTTTTAACAGTGTAAAGCAGTTCCCTAGTGAAAGTACTCATCAAGCGAATACGACTTTCCAGCGTGAGTACTCATATTACTCGTGCGAGTACTCGAAAAATTTAATGTGTATGCATACTCGTCATGTACTCCGATGAGTACTCGTGCAAATTTTTCTTTGGAGATTTACTCATAGACAAATATATGAGTACTCAATGTAGTACTTATTCTTGTTTTTTCGCAGAATATTTAACAAAACACTTATGCACTAGCATACACAAAAATGAATTGGAATTATATAATAAAAGAAAATGATGCAATAAAATGAAAAATAGAGAAAAACTGTTTTAATGAATTATTTATTTTATCTTCTATCCCTTTCTGGTGAGTCATTTACACGACTAAAATAAATAGTGACTTGACGATAGAAAAGAAAAACGATTTTTCTTATTCATTTGTTAACATTTCCAGTAAGATTAAATTTTTTTAAAAATATTAATGCAGACTCGCTTTAATTTTATTTTCTAAATTTAGATAAAAAATCTTTCTTTAAAATATAATTTTTCAGATTGACCATAAAATGCTATAAAACGAATTATAGCTAACGACTTTTGGTACAAATCGATCGCAACTTTAAAATACGAAGATGAGTGAATAAACTATAGACAAATAGTTTTATTTTATTTTTTTTGTAAATTCTCAGATGAATATAGATAGTTAGGGATTTTAAAATGTCTCTGTTAATTTTTTTTGTGCAATAAGCAATACTGTACGTTTATTTAGTATCATATTTCTCATTATCACTGATTCAATTATTATTTTTTCTTCTTCACTATATTTTACTATCCTTAATTCGTGTTTTATTGTACTCTCACTCTAAGATATAGATAATAAATCTTCACTATTTAAAAAAATAGTTAACTATTTTCTTTATTTTTATATAATGAAAATATCATTTTATTTTTTGAAGAAAATAGAAAAGAAGAAAATAAAATCGTATTTTTATTGTAGAAAAATAAAAAAATATTTAATTTTCTTCGCTGATGATGAAGATTTCCATGTCTATATTCTTTGTGTTAATATATACGAAACTGAGGTCAAACTTGTAGTTCTCATTTTGATCGTTTTACTCGAACTTTCATTGTGTGTGTCTGTATTGTATTAATATTTCAACATTAAATAAAAATTGATGTAGTACAATGGTACTAACCAAAAAATATGCTTATGAGTATTTTACATAAACCAGCAGAGTACACAGAAACTAGATAAGAGTACTCATAAAACATTGAATATTACACCGCGAGTATTCGATCGTCGTACTCAAATACTCAGATTCTAGCACGAGTACGACTGATGAGTACTCAAAACCCGTGAGTACTCGTGACATTTTCTAGCGTGAGTACTTTTTGAGTACTCGCCTATGAGTACCTTCACTAGGGTTAGGTTTTGTTTTGTCAACTGCATTATTATGAGCTACTCATCTTCCTTTTTCTCAGGTTTTCCAACAAGATTGGGTGATCGTATGATGGTGAAAGTATATGGAGTGATTGCGGATTGCCCCGCAATGAATCTGATATTAAATCATATTTCACATAACGGTTATTATTGCTGCTGGTTTTGCAAAATGAAAGGGGAGCATGTTATCAACAAAAGGCAATATTATTATGATAAAAATTTTCCTATCAGAGATAAATTAGATTTTGCATTCGACTCACGAAGAGCACATTATCTTCGAACAAATGTAAATGGACGGCTGGGATTATCAATACTTGATAAAGTCTTGGATATACCTTTGCCAAATGCTATAGTAGCAGATTACTTACATGCAACTCTTCTACGACACGCAAAAACAATATGCCTTTACAATTATAACGAAGTTATGAAGCCTCAAGAACGTATTATGTTAGACAAACGAATGTCTGTGCAGCGTTTTCCACATTTTTTCAATAGAACTATCCGACCTTTAAATGAAACTCATCTTAAGTAAATGTTTACTATGTTTAAAACTATAATTTTTTCTTCTCTATTTCGTAGAGCTACGGAAATGAGGAATATTTTTCTATTTTGTATTTTGCCAATGACTAGAAATTTACTTAATTGTGATCGAGTTGCTCATCTTGGCCTTTTTGTCACTGGCATTCGTGTAAGTAAGATTGGGTAATCTTCGAAAATTTTTAAAAATAGCCACCTTTCAGTTTAATATGTCAGCATCATTCTAAAGCTATATTTCATGGGATCTCAAATACATCACGAATACCTTGAAAAACAAGGTTACTACATAAGTTTTAAAGCATTCCAAGGAAAAAACCCTACAGAAAGTTATTAATGCAGAAAGTGAAATATTTATTAGGAATATAGACAATAATATTCTTTTGAAAGTCTCAGAGAAATATTTTTTCTTGAAATTTCTAATAAAGGTACATTTGTTGTTTATTCTCAAGTTTTAAAGCAGTTGTTTGTATGTAAAAATTCCTTAGTGTATTATTAAAGTAAATGAAATTTCAAATGGATAATTACAAATAATAGAATCACATACATGAAATAACCAAAGCTTGAAAGCGTTGTCGAGAATAAAAACATCTAAAAAAAATATGTAGAGACGTTATTATTTATTTTAAAATACATGTTTATAGATAACTTCCCTTTTATCTTTTTATATATAACATGTATCAAGCGTATTGTGTAATACGATAAAATGCTACTACTGAAAAAATACTAATAGTGGCTATCTGCAATATTCTTGTTTTATATAAGGCAGTACCTAGATTACTACTGTGTTTATCTCATAATAAATATATTATTGATTGTAAAAATCCTTCAATATTAGCACCGTTGCTTTACGTTAGGTCCTCGAACAAATTTATGTAGGATTTGTATATTAAATATTCATAGTTTTAATTTTCATCGAATGTATTTCTCTCAGAAAAAAACTTATTTTTCTTGCTCAACTATACAAAGAAGTAAAAGAAGATTAGTTTTCTTTTCTTTATGAAAATATAATTTTTTTCAAAAACTTAACTTGAAAGTGGAGTGTAGAAAAGCTTTCTGAGAATTAGAATACTTTTTTTGAATCCAATAACACTTGAAACTAAATTGAATATTCTGAAACAGTTACTTCATGGTCGTCCAATACTGGGTGATGCAACTGCTGATCAAGCACATGAGTTTCTGACAACATTTTATCGTGATCATGAAGTATTTTATAGTCATCAACAAAATTACGTTTTACATATCCACATTCATTATGCTGAACTTTATCGCAATCATGGAAGTTTGAGCAATATCAACACATTTTCTCAAGAGGATATTATGGGTGCAGTATCAAAATACAAGCATGGCTCAAGATACTGGGGCGAGCAACTTGCTTTTTATTTAAATGTAAGTTTTAATAATTTACTTTCTATTTTATCTAGAAAAACTTTTTTGTAAATTTTTGGTACTAGTAAAATGTATGAGAAAACATCTATTTTATAGGAAAGTATTTATGAGACATCAAATATACAAATATATTTAACTATAATATGAACGATATGGGTACTTTAAGCAGACTTTTTCATTTATTTACATATTTGCATATAAACATTATTTACTGCTGGTATATACTCTATATATATGTGAATTATATTTAGCTTAGATAATCTATGTGCTAATCTATAACTATCTGTATATGAATCATTGAATCCATATCGGATGTACTAGGATGAGAGACATGTGATATCATCAGAACAAAAATAAATGAAATATATTATATCAAAAAGAAATATTCATATATATGTTTTGTTTTCATGAAAACTGAGTTTCACAGAGATGATGGCGCTATACTAAATCCACAAAGTGATAATAGTGCTGTCAATGTTTTTGAAAACAACAATATAAGTGAAAGATTCATTAAATTTATTCTTTTGTTTTAGTGTAGGTCCCTTATTTTAGTTCATCAGAAAAGTCAAACATGAAAAGTAACCATTGTCACTGATACGCCATATATTGGCAATATCAGATCGCAAACATGAGCTTTATTCTAAGCATATAAGTGAGTCTCGAATTTTACATTAGTTGATACCTTTTCCATTGTTTAATACTATCAAATCTTGTTCTATGCGCGAAGATTGATTGTTAGGTAATGAATGTAAACGAAATTTCTTCATTTTACGATTCCTTTTTCCTCCTTTTGCCATTGCTTCTTATTCGCTAATTCTATATCTTTGTTCTCTACCCATATAATTTGTATGCGTAAAAGTTTACACTTTTCAACTCTTTGTTTTACAAAGAAAATAATTATTGCAACACTGTGTTCGACATTTCTTAATAATAAGAAGTCCATGTAAAAGACTTTTTCTTTATTTTAGATTGATTTTGCTTTGAAAAATTTAAAGAAAACCGAAGACTCGACGTCTTCAAATTTTACATCTGAAGGCGTCTTTGATGAAACAGGTATTCCTGTCGAACTTATTCAGGTAGTTTCTATTATAAACTAAAAGATTCTCTTAGAGTAATATTTATATTGTTAATTTTGCTAAGGTTATTTCAAGTATTCATAAAAAGTGTTGTCATTGTTATGATCCAAATAATTGTATCAAGTTTTATCGTCGATTCAGAAGTCAAAAGAAAATTGTTTATCATTCATTATCATACACGAAAAGGAAATCATCTATTTCGTATTTTGTGAAGTATGGATCTTTCTTTGGAGAAATTATCACATTTATTCGCTGTAATGGTAAACAATATGGAATCATCAAACGATACACCATTAAAAGAAAATTTTCCGACTACTTCATTCAATCAATTTATTATGATCTTCTTTTAAAATCGATTGACTCGTTTTTTTTTGTTTTAGAAAAAGTATCTCATCAATTTGATATATTTGATATGGATAGTTCATTGGATATATGTATCGTGATAGAAGAAGAAGATTCTTTTGTAGTTTCACCCATTTCAGTTTATCATGAACATGATTGAACTAGAATAAATAAGAGCCATTTTTAACATAATTATATGAACAATTTTACCGCATAAATAGCTACAAAACATTAGAGCTACACATCAGTTGAGTATGTTGCTAAAAGAAAATGGGACTGGTTATAGCTATGATGCAAGTAAATTAAGTTAAACATGATTAAATGCAGTATAATTCAATTCGATATTCGCTCTTATATGTCTAGCTAGTCAATTATTTATATCTTTTCTATAACTTGAGTGCTTTCACTGAATGATAGTTTTTAAAAATTATCTCATACTATTATCAGTTCTTTTTTTTAATGTTTTATATTAAAGTATTGAAATTATGACGACCCAGCAAAACAAACGAATTCGTCGTCCGCGCAAGATTTTTTCACCTAGTGACAATTTCGTCCATTCTAGTCATTACTTGTTGTATTTCGATTCGACTAATTCATACAATATTGCGTTATCTAGTAGCATTAACAACATCGTGGATAAAACAGCTACTATAACGGTTCGAGGTAAAAAATCTTTGGCTACTATCATTACATCGGGTAATGTTTAAAATCTTTATTTAGTTTGTCAATTAACCTACTGTTTTTTTTATAGGAACATTAGAGACATGCGAGATCGAACAGAGAAAAAGAACCAGAGAGTCTCAGCAAACTTCCGGTGATGAACAAGGTGAACACTCCTCTTCAACTGCTTATTATGAAATCATTTGCCTTAATTCTAGGTGAAGCATGTATAGCTGGTGAATATGAATATATTAATTTACATCCATCTTCTCAGGAGGATGGTTTAATAGGTACTATTCCATTATCAAATCCACAGCAAATGGCAATTACAATCAATCGTACTCAATCACTGTCTGATGATGAAAGTGAGTATTTTAAAGAACCTCATAAACATTGAGTCGCATTAGAGTGAGAAAAAAAAATGATCCTGTGAGTATTATGAAAACTTTGTAAAGCGAATAATTACTTACCAAAAGTTTGTCATTTTGGTTATCCGCATATTCATCGATGCATCAAAGTTTCATTTTCACTCTTCGAAAAACCAAGATCTTCGACAAAACGTTCCTGAGTTATAAAGATTACAGGAAATTATCTGGTCTCTTATCATGCATGAAATGCATTAAGAATTATCTTTTGCAATATCAATTTTAAACACTGATAAATTAATATTTGACTCATTTGATAGTAAAATATTTTGATACGTGCAAGAATATTCGACGTCAGAAAAAGATGAACATAGGTAATGGAGACTAATAAAGACAACAGAAAATATAGAATTTATAGATATTCTATTATTTCTAAGGTTCCATAGAACAGAAGCTGCTAAACACATTTCTTTTGATTCAGTATAGTAAGTTACATCAAAAAGTTTACAATGAGTCCATCCTATGTATCATTTCAATTCGAAAAGGTTAAGAAATGTTCAAACTTTCATGTTTCGTTTAGGTTTACACCATCCCTATATGTTCCCTAGTCATTTTTTTCTAAATGTTATGTTTATTAATTCTTGTCCATAGGTTTGATTAGGTACTCCTTTCTCATTAATATCGAAACATGAAATAAAAATAGACTTTGCTGTGTACACAGAGATGTGTATGATCACGACTTTTTCAAGAAGAAGAGGACCGCTACGCACCTCACACCGCAACGTGGCTATGAAACGTTCATTACATGAGCAAAGTTTCTTTTAACATATTAAATAATTCAGTTCAACCTTTGAATTTAATATGTGTCACAGATTGGAATGTACAGAAAGTACATAAAAAATGATGTATCAATTCACACTTACAAAAAAAATGTCATACATGAAGTATAGTTTTATTTGAAATTTACCCGTATTTTTTATTTCTTTCATAAAAGACTTCTTATTTTTTTAATCAATGTTTCTCAGAGAAATGACCAAACATATTGTATGTTCACCATTGTATTCAAAACCTTTCGCCAAAGTGATATAATCATTCTTGCTTAAATAACTATTCAGATGATAGTCTTTGAAGTTTCCATTTTCATTATTTAAAATCAACTTCATTTTTAATAAATAAGAAGAGCTACAAATTATTGAATTCTTCGTACAATCCTATAACGACATACAAGGCAATTGTTATCAGTGAAAAAACTGCATGTGGTTTTTGGAATACATATTTTGTATAAAGTAAAATTTACTATACAGTTATATTTATTAGAAGATGTAATAGCGAAATATAATATTTTTTCTTTTGGCTGCGTGTTTCCTGAGAAATGAAAGACCCATATGTATTATAAACTGTCTATAATAAATACTGACAATGATTATACTGAGAAAAAAATGTATAGGTTGTGAATTTATTTTCATGGAAAGAATGCATTCACGGCATTCGTTTGAGAGATAGATGTATATCGACCATTCATAATGAACATCGAGATAAAAAGCACAAGTCTTGATCCTTCTTCGCTCTGTCCAGATTTTTTCTGGAACCTCTTAGGTACTACAATGATTATGAGTACCATACATATTCATCAAGAATAATAGGCAGTATCTTAACCCTCAGCACATTAGATTTAAGAAAAATCTCCTTTGTCTGTAGCATTCGATGTGGCTCACATTCTTCCTCAAAATCATGTATATGGTATTCCAATTGAAAGCATCTCATCAAATTTGGTGGAGTCCTTCGTTTTAGAATAATAACTGGAAGATTTTTTTTTGTCTTATAGATTCAGACTCGATTTTAGGTGGTGAAGATAATAATGAAAAAATTGATCGTCAAGCTGATCTTTATTCTAATCCCAATGTTACATCTAGTTTGATTCAGAAAACGACCATAACTAAAAAAAAAAGAAAACGTAATGATATTACAAGTAAAAGTTCCAAACGACACCGAACGAACATCGTAAACAGTGAGTATAGGTTTCTACAATATCAAAGCTTCATTCTTCATTCTAAAAGATCACCAGAAAGATAATGAACAACTGAATGAAGATATGAATTCAATTATCATGAACGAAAACAGTTCAAAAGGTAAGCGAATTTCCAGTCTCAATTAGATATTCTCAGGCATATTTGTTTACTTTTGACATAGATGTTCTCAATCAAATACAGAACTGTTTAGCGATTTTTGAGAGTACCATCACAAAGCGTCTTAAAAAAATGGAAAAAAAAATTGATTCTCAAATTGGTTTGGATTTTATTCAGGTTAGAACAGCTAAAGTAGTCTTGAGGATTTATGTGATATTGACATTACTTTTTCTTTTATAGAATTCAAGAACATTAGATCAATATCGATCTAAAAATGATGAAATTTTTTCGGACGAATATGTATCTTTCACACAAATTATTTACAAACCTACAAGAATATTGCTCATATTTGTCCATTTTTTAGATGTACAATCAACAGAATTTATTAAACACATCAGCCAACGGTCTACTTGATTTTTGTCGAAAGACTCTCCAGTTGCTATTCTCGAAAGAAGAGTTAAAAACTCATATACTTCCACCAAAGCGGGAACATCTTAAAAGAGAACCACTTGATGAAAAACGCTTTAATATTTTTCTTGGTAAGACTATCTTCCATTTACTTTAATGCTAATTGGTTTACTCCTGTCTGATGTTATTTTTAGAAGTAGTCCGAATTAAATTCCGACTCGATTCCGATCTATTCCAAAAATGTTACAATGAATTAATAAAAACAAAGCTGTCGAATTTTTTATATGAAGAACGACGTAGAGAAATACGAAGAAGACTACGTCATGAAGAACGCAAATTAAAGGTGAGTTGATACAGTGAACTGTATTAGTCATTCAATTTGAACACTTTTTTAAATGTAGGAAATTCTTATGCAACAGAATCAATGTGACAATCAACATCACCTTGAAGAAACAGAAGAAGAAGGAAACTCGTTAATTTGCCAACAATAAGTTGGTATAAAGACCTACAATTGTATTTTTTTCTGTTCTTCTTACTCGTTTTTACCTTCGTCTTCTTCTACTTGATGTATCTATGTTCTTCAAAATATTGTACTTTTCTTGTCTTTGTTAGAACAGATATTCTTTTTTTATTTTATTTTATAAATAGCCAAGAAGTTGTTTTGATATTTAAGAGCTTCATGGAATGATAAATGTTTTACATGTTATTTTTTTTTTAATTTAATGACAGATACGCACAGGATATATACGCTACTACATGTTCATACTTCATAAGATTATTTCCATATGAATAGTAGAATTCATCAACATGTCCTGTACAAAGGCCATCTCATTATCATAGGTTTGACAAACGTTTACTACCATCGGATCGCGTTTTTATATCAGCATATTATATATTTTTATATTTTTAACAGATATTTTAGCTATTTCTTGAAAAAAAAGCAAAAAGGTTTTTTTCGATTTCTATTCATCTTTTGATGTTTAGTGACAAATAGAAGCACTTATGGCTACCATCATTGAAAAATAGATCTTGTATTGATCATAAAAGCTCCATTTTACTTAAACTATGTAAGAGATATAGAGCAAAGTAAGTAGACAAATTTTGAATAAAAACTATGTCATACAATTTATTATAAAAATATTATTAACATCGCCATTCATACAGGTTCTGCCATTCTCGAAAGGTATTTGTACAAACTTTGTCATTAGTATTATTTGAGCCTATCGTGCTATCGTTATTATATTTTGATAATACTTCAGTTATCGCTCGTCTATCGATTACGTCTTTCATTTTCTGGCAGATGAATACTTTCAGTATAATGATATATAAATTTTAGTATGCCATCGGTTACTGAACATTCTAACAGATAATTAATAGTAGAATTTCTATTTTAATATATAATAAAATCTGTATTTCGTATCTATTCGTTTTTCTTGGCTCTTATATTTGTTCTTCTATTACAGCGTTAAAAATTCAAATAATAAAACAAATAGAAGATCAAAATACAAGTTAGAAGATAATGCTATGCTAAAGTTAGATAAAAGTTCAACAACAAAATAAACAATTTCTAAAATATGGAGATAATAAATACAAAACAGAAGACGATAAATGTCAATAAAAAAAATCTAGCAAAACACTTCTTTTGTAAATGACAAAAAAGTTTAACAACTTTGGAATAATCATTTTCAAATAAAAAGCGAATAATTCTTATGATAAATCAAAGGAAAAGAAGAAAAATGTCCTTTTATATATAATTTAAAGAAAAAAAAATCAATTTTTCTTTGTTCAGCTTGCAGAAGTTGCATTATTATTATCCTTCTTCATTTCGGAGCCGATTCGATAAGCAGCAATGATTGCTTTGACTTTTTTTCGATGAGTCAATTGTGAAAAATAATTACTAATGGCGCGTCGCCGTTCAGCGTCAGACACATTGTCATTTGGATTAGACAACTTCGTGTAATCTATGGAATAAAAACATCATTCAATCAGAAAAACAATGTTTAACTCACTAATGATTGAATCAACAATAGATCTATCAACATCACGGTATCCAAAGTTTGAATGTGGATTTGGATACATTGATTTTATCACAGAACGTGCTGTAGCCGTTGATGTTTTTTCATTACATTTTAAAAGTTTATTTTCATCCATATTCAATACTCGCACTATATCCACCATAGATATCTCTTTACCAACATTCGTATTTTCTTTATCATCACGTACAAAATTCATTGTTTCCATTGAATTTCGGTTAATGTTTGAATGTCCTATTGGTGCTAAAATTAAGAAAATGATTAATTATGTCATATAAATTTATATAGATAATAGGATGCTTTTTTTAGAGTGAAAAGGTCTTCTTCTGTTCTAATATATGAAAAATCTTATTAGATAGAGTGAAGAAAATTCTACTTGCATCGCAAAAAATTCATTCATCATTGTTACAATAAAGAAGAATGATATCAAAAAATATTAAATTAAAAAGGAATCCATTTTAAAGAATAGTAAACTATTTAAAACATCAATCACTAAAATTCTTTTTGTTCAGAATCTTTCTTCCTACTCATGATATTATGTTTTCTACAATATACAAAGAACTAAAATAAAAAAGTTACTTACTCATTGATCCATTCTCTAATTTCTCAACCTTAGATTCAAGTTCAAAACATTTTCGTTTTAATGCTGTTATGTCATTCAAAAGTGAATGATTTGATGAACTTGAATGTTTATTACTTTCAATAGAATCAATACTATCTTCAAAAGGTCTTTTTTGACCTTGAATACCATGAACAGATAAGTCTACAAGTAAAACATAAATTTTGAAGGACAGAAATACAGACATGTGAAAAATTACCGTCTGTCACATTTGAATATTCATCAAAAACAGAAACAATATTTTCATTTTCATTCATCATAGAATATGACGCTAAAATTTCATCGAATTGGTCCACTGTCAATAAACGCTCTGTATTAACAACTGAATTATTTACAGAGTTATTGTTAATTTGTGGACTTTTTGGATTTTCGACCATAACCTGTAAATTTGATTTTTCAATACCTACAATCAATAGTCATACAATCATAGTGCATTGAGATTTAAAAAATACAACTGTTTTACCATTTGAATTTTCTTTGTCGTTGTCGAAATTCAGTTTCTTTTGAGAAGTCTTTTTAACACGCATTATAAAAGAAGAAAGATAAAAATAAAAAATCTATAAGCGGAGAAAAAAAACATGTAATGTCGTAAAGCTAGCAATCAGTTTATATTTGTCGTGATTTTGAAATCCAAAATATTATGAAATATTATCAAATTTTCATATAATTTGTCATAAGCTATACTGAAGTGGAACGGTGATCTAAGTAAAAAAATAAATTATTGTATGAATAAAAACAATATACACAAAGAGCGAACACTCCGGTATTTATCATTATTGGTTAACTAGTTTTAAGTTACATTATGTTACAGACCACTAAAAAGATGCTTAATTGTACCTAGAGTAAATCGATTTTGGAGGACTATTATTATAACACGTCTCACACAAATGCATGTTGATATCGGTACGCGTACGTAACATGTTACCGAATGTTCTATGTGCACGTCATATGTACCATTGACAACTCTCCAATAAGAAGGTTCATAATAAAATTATGGTTGGATAAGACTATATAATAATGCGGAAAGCCATTAGACTGATTTTACAGTTTCATTAAATAAAGCATGCACTTCGTATCTTTCTCGAAAGTCCAGCCATTTTTCTAGTTTCACATAACACAAATAAAAATCATATCCGATTTTTTTTATAAATATCTTGAAACCTCTTTTGTTTCATTCAGTTAATTCTTTAAAGTTTATTTATTGTATTTTTAATAGTTTTAAAATTTTTATTGATATTACTGTATATTATGTTGACTGCTACTATTTACATAAACTCAAATAAAAAAAAAGTCAATTTTATTTGGACTAATTCGATTTGTTTTTTTTTCTTCTAATTAAAGTAAAGTAAAGTAAATATAATATTATGTGAATCTTTGATACTGAATTGAAATATTCAAAAGATATTTGTATGATATTAACTTTACATTTAAAACTGAAATGAAATAAAGTTAAAATAGTGAAGTTATACATTTTTCAAAATTAAAGTAGAATTCATTCTGCTTATTTTATTTAACTAAAATAAAATTTAATAAAGAATATCTTTATTTTGAAACAAATAACAATTATTGATTTTATAGATAATAATAACACACTAAAATGAATTAAGCCCCACCTCAAAAAAGTAGCTTTTTTGTCAGAATCATTGAAATTAGGATAAATGCATAGAAAGATAGTTCGTGATTCGATCTTCTATAAACGAAAAAATTCTTG